TAAACACTATGATACCAATACAAACTCTGTGACATAAAAACTATGATACCAATACAAACTCTGTGACATAAAAACTATGATACCAATACAAACTACAAACTCCATGACATAGCAACTATGATACCAATACAAACTCCGTGACATAAAAACTATGATACCAATACAAACTCCGTGGCATAAAAACTATGATACCAATATAAACTCCATGACATAAAAACTATGATACCAATACAAACTCCATGACATAAAAACTATGATACCAATACAAACTCCGTGACATAAAAACTATGATACCAATACAAACTCCATGACATGAAAACTATGATACCAATAAAAAAACTCCGTGACATCAAAACTATGATACCAATACAAACTCCGTGACATAAAAACTATGATACCAATACAAACTCCATGACATAAAAACTATGATACCAATACAAACTCCATGACATAAAAACTATGATACCAATACAAACTCCGTGACATAAAAACTATGATACCAATACAAACTCCATGACATAAAAACTATGATACCAATACAAACTCCGTGACATAAAAACTATGATACCAATACAAACTCCGTGACATAAAAACTATGATACCAATACAAACTCCATGACATAAAAACTATGATACCAATACAAACTCCGTGACATAAAAACTATGATACCAATACAAACTCCATGACATAAAAACTATGATACCAATACAAACTCCGTGACATGAAAACTATGATACCAATACAAACTCCGTGACATAAAAACTATGGTACCAATACAAACTCTGTGACATAAAAACTATGATACCAATACAAACTCTGTGACATAAAAACTATGATACCAATACAAACTCAGTGACATAAAAACTATGATACCAATACAAACTCCATGACATAAAAACTATGATACCAATACAAACTCCATGACATAAAAACTATGATACCAATACAAACTCCGTGAAATGAAAACTATGATACCAATACAAACTCCATGACATAAAAACTATGATACTAATACAAACTCCGTGACATGAAAACTATGATACCAATACAAACTCCGTGACATGAAAACTATGATACCAATACAAACTCCGTGACATAACAACTATGATACCAATACAAACTCCATGACATAAAAACTATGATACCAATACAAACTCTGTGACATAAAAACTATGATACCAATACAAACTCCATGACATAAAAACTATGATACCAATACAAACTCCGTGACAAAAAAACTATGATACCAATACAAACTCCGTGACATCAAAACTATGATACCAATACAAACTCCATGACATGAAAACTATGATACCAATACAAACTCCATGACATAAAAACTATGATACCAATACAAACTCCGTGACATGAAAACTATGATACCAATACAAACTCCGTGACATAAAAACTATGATACCAATACAAACTCTGTGACATGAAAACTATGATACCAATACAAACTCCGTGACATAAAAACTATGATACCAATACAAACTCCGTGACATAAAAACTATGATACCAATACAAACTCTGTGAATGAAAACTATGATACCAATACAAACTCCGTGACATAAAAACTATGATACCAATACAAACTCCATGACATAAAAACTATGATACCAATACAAACTCCATGACATAAAAACTATGATACCAATACAAACTCCAATACATAAAAACTATGATACCAATACAAACTCCATGACATAAAAACTATGATACCAATACAAACTCCATGACATAAAAACTATGATACCAATACAAACTCCGTGACATGAAAACTATGATACCAATACAAACTCCATGACATAAAAACTATGATACACATACAAAACTCCATGGCGTAAAAACTGGGACTTGATTCAATGTATAGCTTTGTGTTTGTAGTGTTCAATTTGAATCCAACAAAGGAATATAGGACAAGAATAATTTAGTGTGTCTATATTTATAACCCGATAGGTTACGTCATTTAGTTTACTTAATGGTGCTTTATCGCCATTCAACCCTCTTCAATTCATTTACGATTAGGAGATACTGAACGACAAGCTAGTTCATGTCAGATAAAGCTTAATTGAAATCTATATAAATAAACGAACTGTTGGTACATTAAATGTATGTATTATATTCATTTAATTTTAAGAATAAATAAATAACGAGGAAAATTATGCCCACAGTTTCAGTATAAAAAATAACAATGTTAGACAGACACGGTGGTGTTGTAAATGACAGGACACTTTAAATATTACTTAAAGTATTCTCTTTGAAGTCGACCAAATGCCTCTTTCCTTCAGGAAACGTTTTTCCTAGATCTGAAAACCGTTCGTTTGTGTTGGTAATATTTCCTCCTTAATCAAATGCGGTATGTTCCATTGGAAGATTTAGTGCATACCTTTGATACAGGGTCTCGGAGTTTGTTTTATTTAGCTCCTTTTTAAAAAAAAAAAAAAAAAAAAAAACTGTCTAACTACAATACTATGAAAGGTTAATGTTACAAAAATAAAATATTATTGGTAAAAATAAACCTCAGACCTTATAACAACTTTGTCGACCAAGAAATGTAAAATTCGGATCTGGCGTGATATTCATGTTTTTTTTTAGAACTGCGTGTCTGCTTGTTAGGTTCTTAAAGTGTGCAGCTGTTTGTGGAGCTGTTTATTTCGTAAACATAATGCATAAGATGACCATACCATATTACATAAATAAACATACCATATCACCATACCATATTACCTAGAACACCATACCCTACTATCTAGACGACCATACAGTAGGACAGCGGTTCCCAACCTGTGGGTCGCACGACCCTTTTCCAGGGGTCGCCTAAGACCATCTGAAAACATATATGATCTACAGTTATGAAGTAGCGACGAAAATAATTGTGTGGCTGGGGATCGCCATAAAATGAGGAACTTTATTAAAGGGTCGCGGCATTACGAAGGTTGAGAACCACTGCCGTAGGACCTACCTAGCTTACCATACATTTGTGTTAGATGACATACATTTAACCTTATGAATATACCTTGTGTTCGGTGACATACATTTAACCTATAAGATCATAAATTTGACCTAGATAACCAAACCTTTGATCCAGATAAGTTGATTTATGGTTGATAAGTTGATGAATGGTTGATAAGTTTATTGTTGATGAAATTTGATTGATCGTTGAAAAATTGACTGATTGATGGTGAATAAGATGATTGCTTGCTAAGTTTATGGTTGATAAGTATTTAATCAAATACAATTGGAAGATAAACTTTTTTTCATTATTTCTACACATAAAAAACGTCTTAAATGTTGTCAGAGGACACGTAAAATGTGGGCCTACTCAGAGCTCTAGCTTCCTTTACAAAAAAAAAAAAAAACACCCTATAATTTCTTTTTCTTATTCTTTTGAATAAAGAATCTAATAACAATTTCTATTAATTACTCACAAACCCTGTAGAAGTACGTTTTCTTATTATCAGTCTAGATTTATCAATATTCCAAGTATTTTCTACCATCAATTTTCTTTTGGAAGGATATGTTTTAAAAACTACACACTTTGGAATTCTTATTTATTTTTTATGTGTGTTTAAAATAAAATAGCGTTTCAAATAATCCGACCACCATGCACAAATGAAATACTGATATCTTGGGGGGGGGGGGGGTAAGTATGTTTCGAAAGCCAACGCAAACCAAAAAGGTCAAGCATTTTAAAGGGTATCAAAAAAAAG